GCAGCTTCATCCATATTTAAAAGTCAGGACTGTAATAACACAGGTCAGGTGTGGAATGTAAACACATAACTCCATATTACAGAGAGCAAAGCAAAAGTGCATAAACTCTTTCTCTCACATGTTGTTTTGTAAAGCTATACTAAACATAGATTCTTTTGAGGATAAAAGTGCCAGACATCACTCAGTATAGATGTAATCTCATCAACCACACCATTGCTAGACACATCTCATAAACTCTGCACAATTAATGGTTCAACCCAAGAGAGGCCCAAGATATGGAAATTACTCAGTTCAGATCAGATCATTTCTCATTAAGGGGGATTGAAGCAGGAATTAATGAGGGACCATTTCTGATAAAAGGAATCAGAGTAAAATGCATAAAGTCTGGTTTCTGGACGATTATAAATTCTGTTAGGTCTTAAAAACAAAATGAGGATGAACTCAGTAAGTCATTTTTGTGATAACAGTCCCTCTCTGAAAACGCACGACTCCCTCTAAAAATCAAATGATACAACCCTCATGGTGTAATTGGTATCAGCCTTAACAGGGGGTCTAGTGAAATGACATGACCTTATAAGGACAATAAAATACCACTTTAACAAACTGTGCAGCAGGACTTGGCTGTGAGACAGACAACTAAAGTTAACTGACTGGTAAAAGTCGTGGAATTTTAACAGACAAATAAACACTGTTCATGGATATCAGCATAGAATTAGTGACAGGAAAAAGTAGAATAAACTCATAAATAATTAAATTATTACTTTCAGTGAAAGCACAATTTTAAAGATGATTGACAGTAAAAATAATAAATATTTTATTTATGAATTTAATATCCTTTCAATCTTCCATTCGTGAATAGTATAATATTTTTTAAAATCCAATTCAGAGTGACAGCTGTGGCAAATATTCACATATTTAAGTGTAAATTAAATTACCCTCACACATAGCCAGGAATGGGGATCTCCCTAAAGTTCAAACTGATATAGTTTCACAGTATTACATCCCCACTTGTGTATTCTTTCTATTCATGTACAGACATCAAATAATTTAGGCCACCGTCATTTCATTTCATTAAAATCACTTATATTTTCATTGACGGAAAATGATCCCGAACTTAATATTTTGTTGAATGTGCTTTCATTTTATTACTTTTGTACCAGAATAAAATAATACTGCTTCCGGTCATCATGTGCTTGTTTATGTTTTTTGTCAGATTTTAGAAAAAACAAAAAAACAAAAACAAAGTAAAATTTTTTAAACTAAAATAAAAAGCACACGATTTACTAGTAACATTCGTTTACCACTTTAAAAGGTTTTAAGAATTGATAATACCATAAATGCAAGTTTTGTTCAAAAGAGGTCTATTGTAAAAATTAGTCTACAAAATGCAAAGCCAGCTAAATCATAGCCAGCGACCTTTCACAGAAGACTATGAAAATGTGTTTTGGTTGGTGAGTTGGAAATATATTGTGATAGCACCACAATGATAGAATCAAACTTCAGATAAAGAAATGCAAATTAACTATGGTTTTACACACAAAAATCACATTTCAAACATCCACAGACAAAATGTCTTTGTCACATTAAAAAAAAAATATTTTTGCCATAATGGGCAGTATGAAATTTTAATTGTTTGTTACTATATTTATAAATAATACAATACAAAATAGAATGTGAATAATGAGCAATAAAATAAAAATAAATTTACCATTGCAGAATAAAATAGTTTTTCCAAAACATTAAAAACAAAGTCATAAAAAATGTTTTAAAAGTATTTTGAAGATTGGAAAACTCTACTGAAACTACCGATAAAAAAAGTTTCTGAATAAAAACAAAAGTTAATATAGTTCACCACTAGAGGGCAATGTAACACACTGAAGACCATTTTTTGCAATAGTTCATTATATCAATTGGTTCTTCTACATTTCAATGATCCAAATAAGGAATTATTCACTCAACAAATAAAAATAAAATGCAATCTCGAAAAAAGAATTAAAAAATTTTTTTGCCCAATTGCACTTGAAACTAACTACACTTTAAGAAATGCATTTTGTTACATTTCTCAAAAAATGTCCTTGTTCTCCCAGAAAAGTTGGTTATGCTTTATCGATTTGAACTGTGAAAGATATTACACTAGTAATGAAATTTCCTGCTCTAATGCAGAACCAGTGCATTCATTAAAAAAAAAACGAGTACAATTAGCACCAAAATAAAATACAGTATCTAGTACAAAAACATAGTAGTTGGGAGAATTCCCATTAACTTAGGGAGTCTGATAACAATCAATTGATGATGTGACAAATTATAATCAAGCATATGTTATTCTAAGATCCCACTCACAACTGAATAAGGTGACAATCACAATTAAAAATAAAAAATAGATATTTGTAATTTGCAGGTAATACCTGAAATGTGTGGTACTGCAAGAAGCAGTGTTGAATTTTTTTCTTGCACAAAATGTGAGACAAAATATGAATACTGCTTCAAGCAATATAATATGGTATCTCTGGTATTTAGGTGTGAATGACCTCTTAATCTTATTTGCAACTGTGCCAGCAAGAAAATGATGGAAAAATGGCCAATCTAAAAAAATTGAGGGCTGAGATCCTGTGATTTGATTCGCCGAATTACTGACTCAAAATAAGTCTTAAACTAGAGAGTGGTTGAAATATTCTCTAGTTTCTGGCAATTCAAATCTGTATATTAAATTTGCAAACAATTTTGTATGCTAACATACCTAGAATATGCCTATCAGCAAATAAAATTGTTTGACACTTGCCATAGAACATTCTAAAGAATACAAGATGTCATCTCACTTTTAGAAGTATTGTTAAGTGAAAAAAAAAATTAAATATCAAAAGTTGAATTATTAGTTTTGTTGTCAATATTGATATTCTGGGCCTTATAGAGTTTGCATATACATGTACTATAAATATTTACATTTGAAACTACACAATTGTCCCAATAGATTTCTTACATGGTTTTATGAAGACATTCCATCATT